GTCGATAGAGAGGAGGTTCATCTGATGGGTCAAAGTCAGAGACGGAAGAGGGAAGTGGGTTAGAGACTGAAGAGGAGGGTGACAGCATTGACGGGAGAGAGAGGCCCTTTGTGGCCATGAGGAGGTGAACCGGTTTACATCAGAGGCAGAGATGAGGGTGTTCCCAGAGTAAAGAGAAAGACTGGACATAGGGACTCTCTGCCCACTTTTTTGAACACTCGCAGAAGTTATAGAGGTCCCGTATAATGTCGGGGTTTAAGGACCTGTAAGGAGGCCACTTATTTTGGTTGTCTAAGTGATAGGTAGGCTAATCTTGGGTACTGAAGTGGATTAAATGCTTGGGTTTAATGTCAGGAGTGAGAGAGAGAGTGGAGAGGTTGTCTAAGAGGCATTTGAGGGAAGAGTTGGCCAGCAAGGATGACAAGTTTCCCATTTTAACAGCTGGGGCTGAGCAGAGCATCCCCTGGACAGCCGGCTGTTAGGATATGAGGAGGTTGCAATAAAGCCTGTCATCACAGAATGTTATTACAACCTGCAATTCTCCTGGAGAATCGAGGAGGTTGAGGGCAACCTGGTACCAGGATTTTTAGCCAAGAGGATGCCCAAAACCGGACGGCGGGAGGGAGCAGATTCGAAATTCCTGATGACTGAGGGAGGAGAAAACCAGTTGGGGTCCACTGTGGCCTTAAAGACCTAGGCAGGGTGTGGTCCCCCCATCGCCTGGGGCCGAAAGGGCTGCCGGACAATCAATAGTCAGTTCCCTCTGGTTATCCCGGGCAAGGTTTTAGGTTTTCCAGTTAGGGGCACTTACCAATCCGAGGGCCAGTGATGGATGCAGCGCTGGCGTTCAAGAAAGTGGGCGAAGGCCTTAAGGGGTGAGTCCCACTGGCGCCAGAATGGGGTCTTGCGAGAGGGCGAGAGGAACCCGATCCAAGTCACGGCATCAATGAAAGATGGTGGCGCACAGTGAGACTCAACACCCATTAAGGCCAAGAGACTTAATGGGTCTAACGCGGTGGCTACAGGACCTGAGGGTCAGGCTGCAGCGCTGAGGCAAGGGCGCGGAGGCTTTTATCGGGGCTTAGGGTGACCTGTCTGTCGTCTATAGGTCGGCTGGCAGAGTTTCATGTAGGTTGGTGGATTTTTCGTGGGCACAGGAAAGGGTGTGGAGGGAGAACAGAAGAAGGCACCGTTTCAATCGCCATTTTAGTTTGCTGGGTCGCTGTTTCCAGGAAAGGAAGGGGATGTGGCTTTACTTGTGGCTTGGTGGTGGCCCTTCAGCCAAAGCCGTTAGATCACTTCCTGAGTATCCATCAGTCATTCTAGCAAGTTGTGCTAGCTCTTTTTGGGTCAATGGGCTTCCTTGTTTACATAACAGATTTTTCAGTAAAAGTAGTCTTGTCTTCTCGTTTGGTAAGGACACATATACCCGTTTGATAAAACGACTGAGAACAGCCTTGTCAAGGTCTTAGTTGCACTCATCATAAATACTCTGTCATCTCCAGCAGACTGTACACCATCAAACTCTACGAGAAACTCAGTTTTGCGGCATCTACTAGCATCTTGCTCCCCTTCTCTTCTTTCACACAAAAGGCTATCAACTTGGTCTGTAAAAATTATAGAAGGTTGCAGTTCTTGAGCCACAGCAAAAAGAGCTCTCACTAATTTCTCTCCTTCTCCCACATATTTTGAAGTTAGACGTGCAGCACTTATAGTAAAGAAGGTTGCGTTAGATTCTGCAGCTACTGCTTTAGCCATCGTCTTCCCATTCCCAGGTGGACCAAAGAGTAACAACCCTCTGGCAGGAGCTCTAAGCCCTGTGAACAACTCAGGCCTCAGGGAAGGAAGAACAATTTCCGGCAAAGCTTGTTTTGCCAATTCTTGACCAACTATGTCATCAGATTTCACTGCTGTTCCATTGTTCACAATTTCATTCATGATGAGATTAGCATTCCTGAAATTCTGCAAACCTTTCTTCTTAAGAGCAGTAGTTGTAGGGGTAGGTTTATTTGTTCTGTTTGTTTGTGGAGTACCCTTATGAGTGGCAGCTGTAGGACCAGGTCCCTGTCTCACTCCAGACACCAGGGATAAGCCACTGCAACTAGGTGCTCTGTGGTGGCCTGGAAGTCCCATGGATTCAGTTTCCATTACTGTTTTTGCACGAGGCCGTGGATTACTAGTGTGTGTTAAGGGATCTTTTCTTTACGGAACAGCTCCACTTTCTGACTGGAGATGTCCGTTGCGGCTCGTCAAGTCAGTACTGTCATTATAAACATCCGTTTGTGACTTGGAAAATGGCAAAACTGGCTGCATCGTCTCTAGAACTTGTATACGGTCCTTGGTCACAATCAAAGTAGTCATCCCTTTAGACTGAAGGCGTTTAGCTCTTTCACACCTTTCACCTTGTCCTGTAACTCTGACAGCAGTTCCTTTTTCTAGTTCTTCCATACCTTTCTTACACCATGCCACAGCCCGCTCCTTTTGTCTTGCGTCCTGGTCGATGCTCGGGGCCACGGAAATGCACAAGAAGGCCCACATGGGGAAGGTGCCTACACCTCCCGGGCTTGCAAGCAGGCAGAGGGATCGCCTGGCGGCCTCCACGAGGGTGAGGGCCCCAGAGCCGTGCGCGCCACTGGTCGCGGGGACCCCACCCCTCTGTCTGTGCTGCTGGGAGCATGGCCGCTCCCCCTCCTCCCCCTTCTCCTCCTGCTCCTCCCGCTCAGCCGCGGGCCATCTCCCAGGTTTCTCTTTAAAAGATATACAAGTATTTATGCCTCAGGATCAAACCTCGATGCCACTTGCCTCAGGAAACAGTGTTAGGTAAAGACCATTTGTTTCTGTCGATTTCAGAATGTTAATGACATTTTGGAATTAGCCAGCTCATCCTGTACCCTGATCAAATAGGATTGAAGCATTAAATACATGAAAACATGTTGTTTAGACGTGGGTCAAGTGACTCAGCAGGTCGCTTTCCCTGTGCTGTTGTTGTAGGACCTCCGCCTGGCTGTCATGCCGCTTGTCGGATCTTGTTGTCTCACCATCCCTGTGTAAATGCCTTCATCTCTTTACCTCCTAGTCCCCAGTGGGCAAGCAGACAGATGCAACACATCTGTAGCAGTCGAGTTGCCTCTGAGCTTTTGTCTTGTTTATGTTACAGATTTCTTCTTAAAACCACGCCCTCCTTCCTCTGTCCCTTTGTGTGACTCCTATAAGGTTCCAGGTTCTAGTCCATAGATCATAACTGCTATGGCCCACCATGTCACAACATAAAACGGAGGGAAGCAGATCCATGTACTGTTTACATCTCCATCAGTCATTTTTCTTGGATCACCAGCTTTGCCTCCTGGACCTACTTTTAGCATTGGCCTTTCTGTTTTGATGTTTTAATCAACTCTGTGTTATATGCCAGTGAGAATGGCGAATATGAAAGTCAGTAGATAAAAATGAAATTGAGTAGCTCAAAAACCCTGCGTTGTCAGCATGCACTTGTATTCTCTATAAATGTGAAGTAAAACATAAAGAACCAGAAGTAACGTTTTGCTTGAACTTGACAAATATGGTGCTTCTAATTATATTTGGGGTTTCTTAGAACATCAGTCTTAGTACTTAGATCACAGCTGTTTTGTGAAAGCAGAACTAAACATACCCTAATCAGACTTGAAAAATATACCAACTTAATTAATTTAACAGCTGCTCCAGTAAACAGCACTAAAGAACATAGCCTACTTTGTGGATATCAGTGTTAATCTGCAGCCAAAGTCATCAAGAGGTGTGAGCGAGGGGCTCTCTTTGCTAACTTTGGTGATCACAGTACCAACTTCTGTTTACAAATGCTGCAGACGTCTCACTTCCTCTAGGTGGGATTTCTGCTCATTCTTCGGACATCTTGGTCTCACCAAAATGTCCCTCCTTAGGAGAGAACAACCACAAAAAAAAAAAACCACTGTCAACTAAACTAAGATTTTAAAAAACAGAAGTTAAGGTTGACATTTTGCTAGAGTCAAGATTACTTATTAGTTTTCTCATCTAGTAACTTCCTAGGTAACCATTTGTATTTTTTTTCTTGGATAGGCCTTCACCTTAGGATCCCTATCAATTTTAATATACCTACTTTTGTGGATATCTAATTTCTATTTTTGTATAGCATTCGCTCACCGAGATCTTTTGATATAAAGTTGTTTATGAAAAGGAAAAAAACCTGGGATTCGTACATCCATGACCAGATTTTTTTACACATTTGCTTACACATTAATCTTCTCAATATGGGATAGCAATTTCTAAGGGTCACTTATAATTAGTGTATTTGTCCTGTGCAATTTTAAAGAATGGTCATGCATGTTGCATTTAACCATTTCCCGTCTCTTCCCTGTGTCCCCAGCCTGTCAGGTACATTAACTTAATCTGATCCATCTTTGACAATTGGCCCTAACTCAGAATAATCTACCCTAGAAAATATCATAGCTGTCTTTTATTCTGGCCTTTTCCAATCTCATCTACATCTGGACTCACACTTTTCTTCTGGCTTGTATTTACAATCCAGCTTTTAAAATTTGCATATGGCTTTTTGGGTAGAATTAGAGTGTATGCTCCCTGTGGACCAGGAACTGAATGCCATCTACACTCAGATAATATTTAGTTTAAATTTTTTAATTGGTAGACTAGTCTATCTAGAGGAAAACTCAGTTGTTTGAGACTCACTCCAAGAGACAGCATTATAAAGCTCAAGTAGAATGTTTTCACCGCCTGCTTTGAGTCAGCAGTAAACCAGTAGTTAGCCATGTGGCCACTGGATGCAATGCCATTTACATTCTGGACTAGGGAGTTTCCAGTATTTTTAGGGAAATGAGAGGAACCACATTAGCAACTGAGGCCTTTGTCGGATATACAGTTGGCAAATATTTTTTCCCATTCTGTGGGCTGTCTCCCTGCTTTCTTGATGGTTTCTTTTGCTTTGGAGAAGCTCATTAATTTGATGAGGTCCTACTTGTCTATCTTATTTCTTAAGGTATTGGCCTTCAGGGTTCTGAATAGGAATTGGTTCCCAGTTCCAATCTGCATAAGGTTGTCTCCTGCATTTTCTAAGATCCTTATAGTTTGAGGTTTTACGTTTAGGTTTTTGATCCATTTAGAGTTAATTTTTGTGTTAGGGGTCCTGTTTCAATGTATTGCATGTGGTCAACCAGTTTTCCCAGCACCATTTACTGAATAGGTTCTCCTCTCCCCAGTGGTGGTTGTTAGAGGCTTTGTCAAAGATGAGTTGGTTGAAGAACTGAGGCTTTGCTTCCGGAATCCCTGACCTGTTCCATTGGTCTATGTGCCTGTTTTTGTACCCATACCAGGCTGTTTTGATTACTGTAGACTCATAGTAAAGTTTGAAGTCTGGAAGTGTGATACCTCCTGCTTTGTTTCTCTTGCTAAGGATAGTTTTGGCTAATTGTGGTTGTTTATGTTTCCATATGAATTTCTGTATTGTCATTTCCAGGTCTGAGAAGAATGATGTTGGTAACTTAATGGGTATTGCATTGAATCTGCAGATTGCCTTTGGTAGGATGGACATCTCAACAATGTTGATTCTTCCGATGCATGAGCATGGAATATTTTTCCATTTGTTTGTGTCTTCTTGGATTTATTTGAGCAGTGTTTTGTAATTCTCACTGTAAAAGTCTTTCACTTCTCTGGTTAGGAAGATGCTGAGGGTTTTTTTTGTGTGTGTTATGTGTGGCTATTGTGAATGGGATTGTGCTTTTTATTTGGGTTTCTGCCTGCTTATTGTTGGTGTATAGGAATGCAACTGTCTTTTGCACATTTATTTTGTACCCTGAGACTTTGCCAGGTCCTTTATCAGTGCAAGCAGGTTTTTGACAGATTCTCTTGGATTTTCAAGTTATAGGATCATATCTTCGGCAAAGAGGGATAACTTGACTTCCTCTTTTCCTATTTGGATACCCCCGATTTCCTTCTCTTGTCTAATTGCCCGAGCTAGGACTTCCAACACAATATTGAACACAAGGGATGAGAGTGGGCAGCCTTTTCTTGTTCCAGTTTTCAGGGGGGCTGTTTCTAGTTTCTGTCCATTTAGTAATATGCTAGCTGTGGGTTTATTGTAGATGGCACTTACTATTTTGAGGTATGTTCTTTCTATACCTAGGTGTTTGAGGGTTTTTATCAGGAAAGGATGCTGGATATTATCAAAAGTTTTTTCTGTATCTAATGAGATAATCATGTGGTTCCTGCTTTTATATCTGTTGATGTATTTAATGATATTTATGATCTTGCGAATGTTGAAAAAGTCCTGCATTCTGGAGATGAAGCCTAGTTGGACATGGTGGATGATTTTTGAGATGTGTTTTTGGATCCAATTTGCTAGAATCTTGTTGAGGATTTTTGCATCTATGTTCATAAGGGATATTGGCCTGTAGTTCTCTTTTTTTATTGGCTCTTTACCTGGTTTGGGTATCACTGTGATGTTAGCTTCATAAAATGATTTGGGGAGAATTCCATCTTTCTCAATTGCCTGGAATACCTCCAGGAGGATTGGTATCAGCTCCTACTAGTACGTTTTGTAGAATTCTGCTGTAAAACCATCCAGTCTAGGACTTTTTTTGGTAGGTAGTTTTTGTATGACAGAGTCAATTTCCTGGGTTGTTATTGGTCTATTTAGTGTCTTAATGTCTTCTTGTTTTAACCTGGGGAGGTTGTGTGATGTCAGAAGTCCTCCATTTCATCTAGATTTTCAAGTTTGTTTCCATATAGGTGTATATAGTAATCTCTGAAAATA